AGCGACAGCCAGTCTGCCTTGCTCCCGCGACCCTTCCTGCCCCGGGGACGAACAGGCACCGCTTCCTTCCTCCCTCGCCCCTTCTGCGGGGTGGGAGCAGCCCTTTGGCTCTTGGCTCTTGCCCATCCCGGGGTGGGCACCCCCCGTTCCCTCACACCCCGCCTCCTAAATCCTTGGGCTCCTTGGTAGCCCCTCTCAGGTGCGAGCGCAGATAGCCCCGGGCTTAGAAAAGCTAAAACAAAACAAAAAAAACAGGCACCGCTTCCTTCCTCCCTCGCCCCTTCTGCGGGGTGGGAGCAGCCCTTTGGCTCTTGGCTCTTGCCCATCCCGGGGTGGGCACCCCCCGTTCCCTCACACCCCGCCTCCTAAATCCTTGGGCTCCTTGGTAGCCCCTCTCAGGTGCGAGCGCAGATAGCCCCGGGCTTAGAAAAGCTAAAACAAAACAAAAAAAAGCTTAGAAAGTAAAAAAAAAAAAAAAAAAAAAAAGGAGAGAAGGGTGCCCATGCAGTGCTAGGGGATGTCCCCAGGTACACACGGCTGAGCTCCCTCTGCCCAGCGCTCGGCGTGGGGGATATCCCCGTGTTGCTCCCGTGGGATGGTGGCCGATTTTGTAGGGGCTTGGTCGGGAGTAATCCCCCCAAATCTTTGCCCTCGTGACCAAAGTGCGTGTCCCTGCCCATGCTTCCTGAGCGTGGCTCAGGTCCAGCATCCCTGGCGAAGGCAGCGCTGCTTGGCTGAGGGAAGAGGCACAAAAACCATCTGCAGAGATGCCTCCTCAGCATGTGAACTGGATGCCGCGGTTGCAAAAGCGAGGGATCCAGGTCACATGCTGAGGAGGCATCTCTGCGTTACTCATGAGTGTGGGCTGGGAAGGCTGTGGCGCATGTAAAACCGGTTTCTGCAGTTCGCCAGGGTGAGAAAGCCGCCTCCTGCTCCGGCCAGCCCCACGCCTGGGACGCCGCAGCTTGCCAGGTGTGGTGCAACAGGCGGCAGCTTTAGGGCTTTTGTGTTTGCTGGCCTCTCCTTGCTGCACCTTGGATGGCTTGTTTCCCACGCCGGCAGGTTTCCGGGGGTCCCTGCCAAATGGGCTTGTGCTGAGCACGGGGGATTCCCTCCAGGAAAAAACAGAGTGCTGAGGACGCACTGGGCCAGTTACATCTCTCCCTGTCCCCTGAAGACCTCCCCAAAACCTCACGATCCTCCCATTACTTCCACCTCTGCTTCACACAGAGCTCCCACCTTCCCCGTTGCCGCCATTCCCTGCGCTGTGCTGCAGCCCTTGTCTCCTGCTCTGGCAGCTTTGGGCTTCTTGCTGGGATGGAAGAGGAGAACCAGTGTGTTTCCAAGGACGAGAAGGAGAGCTTGGGTTGGGCTGGAGCTGCTCAGCAGTTCTGGTTTCCTCCTGCCATCAGCGTCCCAGCAGAGGCCTGGTAACTACTGGGTACCCGTGCTGGCTCTCCTTTGGTGCTGCTGCGCTCTGCAGGGACAGTGTTTCCCAACACACCGTGCCTTAACGACTCGCATATTGCAAATGGGCTCGGAGGTGGCAGGTTGTTTTTTGCAAAGTGCCGGACACCATAACTCGCCTGTCTAAACATGCACCCTCAGCAGTGACGCCCCTCTGAAGCAGCTGGCTGGCATCTCGGAACGTGTGGTAGCCTTGTCGCTCTGTTTTCGGAGCCTCTGAGGGATTTGGTTGTAGTAGTTGGGATGCTTAAGGATGTGGTGCATTCCGAGCAGCACACCGAAGGTTATTGTGGTTAGATCTGTTCAAACAGTCATGAAAGCCTATCAGGGGCAATTTGCAGTGCTCTCCTTTTGGTGCACCGAGGCCGCGCCGTTCGGCTCGCTCTCACAAAGCATCCCCTGAGACCTTCACCACGCTGGGAATGAAAACGGGAAAAGCTCCCATAGTCTCTGTGAGTTACTAGCTAGGAAATTCAGAAATCCTTTAATACATTATATGAACACCTTATTCACTTTACTGTGTAGCAAATGGGGTTTACGCATTTGCAAAAAAGTGTAAAGCTTCGCAGAGCTGTTGAGGGCTGAAAATAAGGAGGCGCTACTGAAACGTAGGGAAGTTGCAAACTTTCCAGGAATAAAAAAAAGACAGTCTTTTCTCTGATGCTGGAAAGTAATTCACGCGATGCAGTAAATTATTTAGATTTTCACACAGAAGCCACTCCAACCGCGCCGCTATGTATTTTTTTAGAATGGGGGCATTTTTTGCTGTTTCTTGTGGGAAGCTCTGATTTTTTGGTTTGGATGCACCGGGGAGTGTTTTGGTAGCTTTCTGGCACGCTTGGGTAACCGATTCCTCCCGGGGAGAGGAGTGCTCGGCACATGGTGCACAGCTGCAGAACTGGTCAGGAAAGATCTGATTAAACACTTCTGTACCGAAAAGCGCCAACTCGTCAAAATCCCAACCGTCTGCAGGAAAGAACTGGGGCCACTGAAACTTTTATCAGGGAAATTTTTGTGGCGTGTGCGTACACGCACAGGGGAGTGTGTAGGATCCCGTACTAGCCTGGTGCAAAGAATATGCGTTTGGTGTGGAAGAGAGGCCTTTTCCTCTCGGGGAAAAGCTGGATAGGTTTTAATTTGGATTTGTAAACATATAGGGGATTTCCACACCACCACCATGCCCCCCCGAAAAGGTTTTGCAGCTAAGGGAAGAAGTGATAAAGCGAACAGGTTTCAGACGCTTCAGTGTTTTTCCTCCTTGTTTGCATTTATAGTGAAAGTTGTTGAAGATTTTCAATGGTGGTTGTAAGAGGAAGATTAAGGCGGCAATAACTTGATACAAAACCCTAGTCCGTAGCTAAATATTCAGCGTCGTGGTGGGCAGCGAGGGTTTGCATCAAATCCCAAGGGTTTACATCAAACCCTAGCTGCTCGCGGCCCTTCTGCATTTGTAACTCGGTTTCCTGAGCCTGTGGTGACTTCATTGTGAAGCGTAACAGGGACAGATAACACGAGGCCGTGCGATGGCATGGCCACAGAGGCAGCAGCTACCTGGTCAGCAAAGGGGGAGGCAAAGCAGTGGAGTTACAGCTGGCTCTGCATGCCACAGAGCCAACGGAGCGGGTTTCCTTGGGCTTGCAGTTGTCTAGGAAGGAGTGAAGCCTGACCGAAGCTCTTTCCTGTGGTCGTGGCTTTCCTCCTGTTGCTGTCTCTTGTGGGCTCGCTGTTGTCTGACGAGAACTGGTTTCATGCTGTAGCCGTACCCTCGGGTAGGTTCATAACAGTGCAAGGCCTGTGTGCAGCAGAGACTGCAATCCCCGACTGGGAAACCAGACCAAAATGGTAAAAATGCAATCAAGTGTGGAATAAACGAGCAAATGCAAGATGATAATTCATGGTAGGATGCGGGACTACTCTTCAGAATAAGGGTTGTTTTGGAGACAATTAATTTTCCTCTTCGTAGTGCATGAGCAATCGGTTATTAAGTGAAGATGAAAACGGGAAATGAAATTGAGCGAAGGCGGCATTACTTTTCTGCCAGGCGAGCTTCTGGGATGGCCTGCCACAGGATGCCAGGGATGCTGAGAGCTTACCTGGATCCAAAAAGAGATTAAGTTATACAAGTAGCAAGGTGCTGGACTGCTAGAGTCCTCGTTACTTTTTCAAGTGGGTGAAATTAGAAGGAACTTTTTCCCAGCAGCCTTACCCCGTAAGTGTTCCTGGTTATCCCCATGTCCCCAGATGACCTGGCTGGGGCTCTGGGCTCCATCATGCAGTCAGCCTCCCAAGCCAGGTAAAGGACGAGGTGGCCAAAGGAAGGTCCCTACAAGAGGGAAGGGGCACAGATCAGAAGGAGCAGGGGGAGCCAATGCCTGCTGGCAGGCACAGACGTTTTGTTTTGCAGTTTCCCTTGATGGTGGGAGGAGGGATTCGACACAGAGAGGATCTGCTCTGCCCTGGCCGCTCTCGTCGGTGGTTGCTACTCTGAGGACTCAGAAGGTTCCCTCCTGGCATGCCTTTGGATTTTTAATAAGCACTGGGTGTGGCGTGCTTTGCTGACAAGTCCCAAGACCCCCAGTCCCCTCTTCCGTTGGCAGTGAGCGGAGCAGGCAGCCTCTCCTAGGATAACGGCTTCATGAGTCGGGAGCATCGTTGTGCAACCTCCCCATCGCACCTAAGCGGGAAGCAGTCGCGCAGAGGACACATCTGCACCCTGGGATGTGCAGAGGGCTGCAGTCGTCATTTGCCTGCCAGCTAAAAGGAAGGTGACATTGAGATACAGGGAGAGACAATAAAATAATTAGGCTGAGACTCCTTTGGGCAGGCGATCTACCCTGCGGTTTGCTGAACTGTGACTTCAGTTGGCTCCGTGCGGCGTTTGCACGATTAATTTGAGATGCTTAACCCCATGCTGGGCCACAGGTGAACGCCAGCCGAGGCTGCTTTCTCCCTTAGCAAAGAGTTTGCTGGGGAGCAAATTGCTCCAGCAGAAAGCATGGGATTTGCTGGGCAGCCAGAGTGTTGCCTGCTGGGCTGCATCCCAGGGCTGTCCTGCTTTTTTTCCCACTGGACGCAAGGCAGCCTCCGTCTTTGGAAATGGCACAGGACCCATTGCAGGCATATCAGAGAGGGAAAAAAAAATACAGGAAGGTGGACTACAATAGAAGGGTTGTCTGAGAGGAAGCCCCGGACAAATAAATGCTTTTTTTCCCCAGGAAACTCAAGCCAGTTCCATAAACCACTGAGAGATGTGGGGCCACATTTTTCCATGGGAAATGTCTGCCTGAAGAAGCTGACAGCTGGGAGTGGGATTTTTTTTCCCCCCTCTTTGTGTTTGGAGAGGCTGCTGGAAGAGTAGCAGGGTTTCTGGTGGGCAGGGGATCACGGGTCTCCGGCGGAGGGGAGGGAAATCCCGAGTCAGTGGCCCAGCATAAGGGAAGGGAAATTTTAAATCATTTGTGCAGGGGGAAAAGGGGGATTCCCAGGTCATCGGTGAAAAAATAAAAGGCGCGTAGGAGGGAGCCCTGCCTGCCTGGGGTATCTACACTGTCATCTCTGCTGACGGGAAGGGGGTTTTTAACCCTGCAAAACCCCTTTGCTTTCTAGTACGCGGCTGCACTGCAGGCTCACACCCTTCTGTGGTTTCAGGGGCGGATGTCTCGGTGCTCTCAGAAGCCGAGGGAGCTGCTTCCTCTCCTTTGGGTTTAGGTTTGTATTGATTTGTTTGTATTTGTTTCGCTTGCACATTGTGTTTGGTTTTCATTCCGCAGTGATTAGCGGTGAGCACCCTTGGCTGTGTTTTGGGATGTTTCCTGGCTCTTCTGACCTTATCTCCAAAGCGCGGATAAACCAGAGCAGTTGGGAACCCTGGGGGATTCGTTACCTGTATCCAATTGCGGCAGGTCCAGACCACATCCATGCAAATCATCAATTTTTCTGAAGAAAAAAAAAGGAAAACAAACCACCCCAAACAAGCCTCTTCCTCCTCCTGAGCCCTGCATGGGTCCCTCACAATTCAGGTGTTTGTTATTCCCACCTAGAAACGAACTCGGGCTGCAGATGGATCTGCATTTGGAAATGTTCCTCCCTGTCCTGTTTCGCTTCCATCAGCAATCTCTGGGGATGCGCCTGGATCTCCCTGGGGCTTTGGCTGTCCTGAAGCTCTGACGTTGCTGCAGGCAAATGTCAGGGTGAAGGCTTTTGCCCCAGCCCCTCTGGTGGCGAGGGAGGTCTGGCTGTTTCGTTCCCATCTTCTTCCTGGGAAGGGTCTAACTCATGAATCCTGGTCCGAATCGAAGAAAGAGGGGACGACGTACTCCAGTGGTGCTGGGACGGCCAACAGAAGTGACGGGTGACTTCAGCCTGTGCTCTGAGGAGACCCTAATTTCACCGTCCGTCCTACCCGGAGGTTTTTCCGCCTCTTTGCTCCAGCTGGCTTCCCCCGGGGCCTGGGCCGCACATTTGGTGACAGTGAGGGGCTGGCAGGGGGGTGGGGATGGGGACAGGCGCCGGTGTTGAAACAGGATCTGGCTAACCACATCCTCA